GTCCTCCTGACGGAGAGTGACGCTCTAGGCTGCCTCGCGTACTCGCTGCTCCCGGCGTCTCCGACCCGGGCTGGACTTGGGCAAGGGACGCGGCGGCGGCGGCGGCAGCGGCTTCCGTCATTTCTATCCCGCGCCGCGCCTGGACGGTGCTGCAAGTATTGACCTCTCAGGCTTTCCCCTGCCCAAATCCGCGCCGTCTTCCCAAGTCACGGAGGCCAGCTTATCTCTTATCCTAACGGTGCTTTCGCCTCCGGCCTCCTCCTCCTCCTCCTCTCCTCCTCTTGGCGGTCTTCCCCTGGCGCCGGCGCCTGCAAGCCCAGCCCGCTCCCACCCTTTCCCCGGCCAAGGACGGCGGTTTTCTCCCAGTTTCTTTGCACCCTCATATTTATTGCCGTTGTTCTTCCATGTCACCCATCCCATTCCAGCAGTTTTGTCTCCTTCCTATCCATAGCTATTGTATATCTCGAACATTATTTTCTTGCATTTTAATCTGCAATCCCTCCGGTGGGTGGATAGGAGAGCAATAATCTTTCGTCGTGATTTTCTTTTTCTGGTAATAGTTTTGGAGAAGTAGCTGTTTCAATCTATTGCAGTAAAAGCAAGGGATTTTAGTGGCACTAAAGACTAAAATTATTTATTAGGATATTGGCTTCATTAGATAGCTGTTAAATATTTCAGTGCTGTCACACATATAATTGGCAAATCTAATTTTGTTCATGTGTCAATAAGTGAACAAAATTTGTATGCTTTATGATTATCTTTAATTCTCTGTAGGCTTCTCTCTTCCCAGGACTAGTAAATGCCTTAATCATATTGTACAGAACTGCAGTGTAGTCCTTTTTGTGTGAGCTTTACTTGGTCCAAAAAGACTGTAATTGGGATATTTTGCATGTTCTTCATTTGTCATTTATGTCATTGGTAGATGTTTTATGTAGTATTTGTATCTTTGTATCTTTGCTGGCCAGTGATAGAGATGTATCTTTGCTGGCCAGTGATAGAGATGTAGAAGGAATAAGAATTGATTAGAACTGAGCATCTTTCTCAAACCTAATATTTTTTCAACCATTTTGAGCATGATGTAGTCCCTAACATCTTGGTTTTAACCACAGTGAATGAAAATTATTTTAGAGCAACAATATATGAAATTATTTGCTGCCAGATATCAAAATGAAGATCTCCTAAGTGAAATTGATTCAGTTTTAGGTATGTAATAATATAGATACCGGTAATAATGGAGGATGCTGATGTTGGATAGCATGTTTCAGAAGAATCTTCCTGATGCCTCAATTAAAGTGCTATCCAGGAGTCCATGAACTGACAGAAAACTATATCACAATAAAATTGGCTTTCCTCTGTGGCCATTCTTATCCTGCTACAGGCATGTTAGCAACAAATGCTGTTCTTAATGTGACCTTGGTGCAGATGTAGCCCTCTGCCAGAATTGCTGTGGTTTTGCACAGTTTTGTGGAAGGGACTTATAGGGAGATCTGGCTATCAGCTGATGTCAGTTGGTAAATGGACTCATTTTAGGCATTGGCTTAGTGCTATTCCAGAAGAGCACTGAACTTGTGCTTAAAAGTTGATCAGACAGTAACTGACAAGCATGGGGAAAGTTGCTCTTTTTCTCCTGCTTTACTGATAGTCACCACTGCTGTCAGCTCAGGGACCTGTCAAGTATAATAGAAGAGTCTGATTTGAAAGAACCAGACTTTCCTGCCCAAAGTGGAATGTAGGACAGTGCCCAGAGCTATATTTGTACTAGTTTCGATGGGCCAGTGGGGTCACTCTAATCTACCCCCCCCAGGGATTACCTGAGTGTACCAATTGTATCTTCAACAAAACCTACAATATGTTGAGATAAAGAGGAAACTATTTTAACACCAGTACAGTTAAGGACAACTCAAGGTGTAGAAATCAGATAGAGGCAATGCCAGAAAAAAGGTTTCTGGAATAAGTTTATGCTACAATTAGATGCAAATGAAGAACAACTCTTAAAAGACAATGTTTATCAATTATTAGTAAGCAACAGTAAGTCTTCCTATATTTGAAGGACAGTTAATGCTGGAAACAAAAGTTTGCAAATAATATCTAACATAAATACTGTATGTTTCCATCTTTATATTTTGAATGACTTTTTCCTTTTTCTATATCAGCTATGATTTTGCACTGGCATCTGTGCTATCTTAGTTTCCTTGAAAATCAGAAATACCATAATTTGAAATTTTTGCACAAACAATAGTTAAGAGAACTTGTGCTTTTGCACTTTAATATATGATTAAATGCATATAAGGCAAAGAAGAAATTATTCTGAAATGAGTGTGTTTCTGATTTGCAAACAGTAGTCTCCAGTGGTTTGCAGTAATTCTTATTGTATTGGATTGAAGCATTTGAAGGCACACAATATTTGTGGTGCATCCTCAGAACAAAATTTCATCAATGTTGGATAAATGTTCTGTAATCTTGTGCTTGAGGCCTGCTTATGTTATTACCATATTCAGTCTTTTCCCCTAATCAATACCTTGACTATGCATTACTGCTCATACAAAGCTGCAACTTAAAATCCATGCAGTGCATAGTATATGTATATTGAAATCATAATAAGGATTTCATTAGTCCTGATTGTTTTTTGCCTGTTCTTCTGTTGTCATATTTATTGCTTCATGCAAGAAAAATGCTCAATATAATGATAGACATTATCATTGGGAACAGTCATAATTTATTTTAGAATTGGTTGACTCTGAGATGCTTCTTACAGAAATAATAAATTGCATTTTAATTTAATTTAAAATGGGCTTTCAGGTATGGGGCAAGCTATTCTTTAATTGTATATCAGGGAATCGGGAATTGTATCATGAAGGAGAAACTGCCTGTTGCCTAGGTTAATAGTTATTGCTATATTGGTACAGTTGCAGCTTTCTTCTGTACTATTTTTGTGAGAAGAAACAGTCAGCAGAACCACTTTAGGAAATTTAGTAGTAATACACATTTTGTGCAGAAGCACCTTAAAAGTTTAAACAAAAATTCATTGGAATAGCTCTTGGTTATCTTTTATGGTTATTCTGCGGTAGCATAGTGTTTATAGAAATGAATGAGTTATTCATGTTCAGAAAAATTGCTAATACATTGAAATGACTTTTGTATGTATGATTCTTTTTTCATTCTGAGTTAACAATGAGCAAAGTTTGTTTTGTATAGGTTATGCCTGTAACTATATTAGGGTGCAACTGCAAGGTTTTCCCCCCTGTAAATTATTGTTTGTTGATTAATTGCAGAATGTTTGGCACTCCAGGCCTGCAGAAACTAAGTGTGATTTACAGCCAAGCTGGAAACAGCCAGCAAAACAACCAAATACAGCATGGAAGACAGGTGAACTTCCTGAGAACTGAAGTATGTTAGATTTCTAACAACTTTTTGATTAATTAACATGCTTAAAATTAATCTTTGTGCAGTAGGATTTTTCATTCACTGCCAGGGAGAGAAAAAAATTACTCTAGGAATATCTGGAATTCAGAATGTTTTAAAACAATGATAGTTGATTAATAGCTAAATAACCAATTAGCTCTTGAAGATAGTCTGTTATTAATACAACTCCATTGTTCATTAGTTTTATTACCAAATCCTACAACAATCTGGGAAGTGGACATATTCTATCTTTCAAATATAATCAATATTCTTTTAAGCAGATGTCAAAATTCCTGAAGGAATCCCTGCACTGATTTCTTGGATGTGTTACAAGACAGATAATTTCAGATATGCCTGTTTAAGCCCTCACATTTAAATCTATGTAAAATGAGTGCATGTCTTAAACATCTGGATCTTCCTTCTGGGACACTAACATATACAGTACTAGTAAGCAAGGATGTTTGTCGTTAACTTGTTTTCTCACTAGGTAACAGAGGAGCACCCACACTTTTCTAAAATAGAAAACTTAATTTTTTTAGGTTATTATCCAGTGTAGGAATATAAATTATTAATATTTTCATTGCTCATGAATTATGTTAACTTTTTTTTACTTATTTTGTAAAATGGAACACCAAATTATTCCAGAAGGCTGTAAAATGTAAAATAATATTTTAATTAAACTTTTATGAATTGAAGCTTTCATTTTTAAAGTAAATTTCTAATTCTCATTGTGACATAGATGAACAGCAAGCTTTCTGCTATATTTCTGCCAGGGAGTAAAGAAGTTTAAAATGATTTGTTCTTGATACTTGGCCTATATGAGTACAAAAAGAGACTGTCAAATACAGGTTAATAATTTTGGGGGGTTAATCATTTCAAGTGTTTTTAATTTTTTCTCTTCCTTATAGGTGAAAGTTGACATAGTTTCTATGAAACCATAAATGACGTCTTGGCATCTTGATTGCCATGACACCCAGCATAGGCTTGTGTGGAGAATGTGGGAAGCCTTCCCTTAAAAAACTGCTGACAGCCATGGCTAGGTAAGGTTTAAGCAGGAATATGATGATTTGACTGAAATCCTGTCCTTAAGGGATGATAAAAATGTTTTTTGTTTGTAATTCTAATACAGCAGACAATAATTGTCCCATATTGTGGGTTTTTGGTAGTGTGAATTTGAAGACATTGGTCTTACCATGTTTTTCTTAGTTCTGCCTGAACATGATCTAACATCACTTCAAAAATTATTATACTAGTTTACTGGTCTGGGATCATAAATAAAGAAATCAAACCACTGTTATACTTGTAACATCAAGTCGCTCTCCATACTCTTGGCATAGGACACTCTCGGCAATCTCTCACTGGAGCACAAATATCACTTTAAAAAGTTGCTGACAGATGATATATAACTGCCTCCATGCACCTATTTCCTATTAAATCTGAAGCACTGCACAAATGTGTGGTCTATACCTTTGCCTTTTTTCTCCATCTCCCATTGGGTTTTTGAAACGTTGAAAATATTTTGTTAGAAAGATGTGGTTTACATTTTGGTCTTCAGTATTCTGGTTTTCCTTAAGTTCCAGGGTTTGCCTGTTGTTTTGACACCATGGGAACGTGCTGCAGTAGCCCATGCCGAGACAGGGTTCCAGATAACCACCCTACCAAGTTTAAGGTAAGTTGTGTTTTTTGTCTTTTATAATGTATTCTTCTACTAATATTGATCGCTGTGAGTTAACTCAAATAAAATTTCATCTCAAGACTGAAGTTGGATTGAGAAACTCCTTTTTACGATTCCCCCCCCCATTCTTCTTGGTGCTTTCTTCAGTTAAGTATCACTGCCTTTAGCTGAGAAAGTTTATCTTCTCTGTATATTTCAAGGAATTTTGTCTCTCAATAAAATAACTAAATTTTGTCCTCCCTCGTTGCTTAACATTCAGTCTGAAGATTTGAAATATTGACAATTTTCTGACCTTTTGTGCATGGCTGGTAAAGGCATTGCACGACTGTGAATTTGAAAATTCTTTCGAGGTGAATCATTTAACTTGGGTCAATTAGTTGATGATTGGTACTAGACAGTAATATTATGCAGGGAATCTTAGATGGCATTCCCAAAGTAGAAGCACTGTGATTAATAAATGCATTGTTAGTATTACTATATGCTTAAGGCTAAGAAAACACTCCTCAGATTACCAGAGGGAGCAATTTCCTAAGTAGCTGAGGTCTTGTTGATGGGCTAGCATTGACTCTAGGTCACAGGTCGGCAACCTGTGGCTCCGGAGCCGCATGTGGCTCTTTGAGCCTTCCCCTGCAGCTCCCAGCCTCCTCTGCCATTTGCAGAGAGAGACAGAGACAGAGAGAGGCTCTCTCCCTCCCTCTCCCTCTCCCTCTCCCTCTCTCTCTCTCTCTCTCTCTCTCTCTCTCTCTCTCTCTCTGTGTAAAAAAAAAAGAGTGGACTCAGTGTTCTCCCACGAGCTGAAAAGCTTACTGGGCGGAGCTCCTTCCTTTGCTGCAGGAAACAGGAAGCAGGAAGGGCAGGAGAGAGCTAGCTAGCCCAGCTATGCTGACTCAGGAATTCTGGGAGTTGAAGTCCATGAGTCATAAAAGAGCCAAGGTTGCCTACCCCTGAGCTTGTTGGAGAACAGCTTGAAGCCAGCTTGCCAGGTGAGCAAAAGATCAGAGAAAGGGAGGGGGGGGAGAGAGAGGGAGAGAAAGAGAGAGAGAGGGAGAGGAGAGACAGAGAGAGAGAGAGAGACCCTTTTGACATCTAAAATGAAGATAACACTGCATATATCCTTTTTACCTTTATTATATATATATATATATAAGGTAAAAAAGGATATATGCAGTATTATCTTCATTTTAGATGTCAAAAGGGTTTTGCAGCTCCCAGTGTGGGAAACGGGTCCAAGTGTCTCTTTAAGTGTTTTGGGTTGCCTACCCCTGCTCTAGGTGTACCTACCTGAAATATTTTTCAGGTAAGGAAGTATTCCTCTTATGCAATGTTTCTCATTCTTGGCTCTTTAAGATGTGTGAACTTCCACTGACTGGGGAAATCTGGGAGCTGAAGTCTACACATCTTAAAATTGCCAAGGCTGAGAAACATTGCTCTAAAGCATTGCTCTAAAGCATTATTCAGTGGTAAAGCATTTTACCACTGAATAAGAAAAAAATGACTGCCTTACAGAGATGAGGTTGGGCTGGTGTACTTTCCTCAATAGCTACACTACTAGTTTATAACCCCACTGTGTCTATTTATATGGTTTTTAGTAACTCCTGACAACTGGCTTTGGTTTCTACAGGTGACAAATGTTGATGATGAGGGCAATGAGCTGGGCTCAGGGATAATGGAATTGACACAGAGGGAGCTTGTTTTGCACACTCATAAACGCGATGCTGTTCGGTGGCCCTACCTTTGCTTGCGTCGCTATGGCTATGATTCCCATCTCTTCTCCTTTGAAAGTGGACGTCGCTGCCTGACTGGACAGGGTATGTACAGCAGGAGAGCTGTTAACCTGGGATAACATCTACTTTGTCTCCTCATAGGATGTTATAAATCTGGTTCAGAAATAGAAACAAAACTTCTAATAAGACACATAAGGAAATTCACATTTTTGTTTTCAGATAAGTATTGATGAGAGAACATTTTTTTAAAGCCTATTTAGTCCAGTATTCTGCTTCATCAAGGCCAACCATATATAAATGAATAGTCTAAATATCTGGTATTCAGGTTTCTAACGCCTCTCATATTAACAGCATTGAAGGGAATGTTCTGGCCTATACTCTCTGATAGTCTTTTAAATCCATATGTGTATGGTGAGATGTGCAAGGTTGGGAATAACTCTGCGATCATTTAAATCTTTGTTACATTAAGAATACTTAGACTATATTAAAAATAGTAACATTTTAAAAAATAGAATTATATCTTATCCAAATTAAAATTCCAATCTAAATCTAGCAGTGTTGGAATTAATAAAAATGGCATGTTATAAGAGAAAGTTGATGCCATATCCTTTCACAAGATGTAGCAGTACCTAAATTTAATAACAAAATAAACAAGAAAATATAAAATTATCTTGCTATATCAGCTCAGAGGTTTATCTAATACTTTATGTCCATCAGTAGCCAGACTATGTTTCTCAGAAACTAGATAGCTATTTATAAATCATTAGGATCTGTCTTTCAGAGGCATAGTGCTTCAGACTCTGAGGACCCAGTTGTATAGTTCTTTATGAGACCCCTACCTACTATTGATAATCCCTTGTCTTCATAGTGATAAACTTTATAAATGCATTATATTTATGCTGAATCTTTTGAAATCAGGCCTAACTTTTAAATAATTATGAATAAAATCTGTGACGCTCAGGCTATTATGCAGTTCTTTTTTTTTCTCTGCACCTAAGAGGAGAAGAATGAAAGCTTTCACTTTTATTTCAGAATAAACCAAAGTTTTAGGTTTTTATTTAAATCAAAATGTATTAAATCCTGACCTGGAAACAATGCCACAAGACATCATAATCTTGTATTATTTTCAAAAGCTGTAACACAGGGGTCTCCAACCTTGGAACTTTAAGACTTGTGGACTTCAACTCCCAGAATTCCTCAGAAAGCCAAGCTGGCTGAGGAATTCTGGGAGTTGAAGTCCATAAGTCTTAAAGTTGCCAAGGTTGGAGACCCCTGTGTTACAGCTTTTGAAAATAATACAAGATTATGTCTTGTGGTATTGTTAATACATTTTGATTTAAATAAAAACCTGGCCCTTTGTAAGGTAGCTGCTGGCCACATGAGGACTTCTTCCCCAGGTCTCATGAGGAAACTGCCACATGTCACCTCAGGAAGAAAGCCTTGCGTGGCCAGCAGTTGCCTTGCAGAGCTGTGGAATTCAGGGGCCCAAAGGGCAAAGATGGGGAAGTAGGCAGGGGAAGAAGTGGAAGACTCCCTGTGATTGTAAGTGTGGGCAGGCTATCAAGTGACTGATTTTGATTGTATGACCTCAGGGATGCTGCCGCAGCCATATTTTCAGGGACCAGGTGTAAATACCATTTGTTCAGCGCTACTGTAATTTCATGGTTGTTAAATATATGATCATAAGTTGAGAACTACCTATAATGTGATATTTTGACTTTGGTAGGAATATTATCTAGCTGGCTGCCTATTTATAACCTATGGTTTGTTCACCACTGGCATTAGTTTGTGCCAGGAGTGTGATCTTTATGTTACAGATGAAATAGTAAAAAAAATCCAAAAAGTCTTGGGTCAGAGCAGTGTGGATTAAAAAAAAAGGCAAGTTTGATATTCAGTGGTTGTAAGATTCATTATTTCCCTTGCATTATATGAATATTCTTTGATTCTTTTCACATTCCTTTCTTTCATCGTTGGATTTTAAAGCTTATTTCACTTGAATGATCATTCTTAATATCAGGAAGATAAGACAGAAAATGTGTAGGATCTACTGACGTGTGTGTGTGTGTGTGTTTTAGAATATTTTTATTCAGAATTGCAGCTGTTGTTGCCATGTTCTTGTCCTTGTTGCTATGGGTTTTTGGTTCATGTCTGTGCATGCCGGAATCTGATTGGTTAGTTCAGAATAGAGAGACAATTGATAAAAGTATTTATGGGTGGTGGGCAGGTGTTGCAGTTTAATACAAAAGCGAGTTGCTGTGCTTCCCAAACGTTTGCCAGTACAATCCTGTTAATCGATGAATCAATGAAAAGATTTCAGTGATTTGCAAAAAAGGTTCTAATCTCAAAATTGAGCTGGCAAACATAAATGGAAATAGCTTGTTAGATTCTTTGTGCAGGCTCATGGTGCTACAGGCTTACTTTGCCCAAGTAAGATACAGATAATGTTTTCCTCAAATTTCTCATGGGCAGCACAGTTGAAAATTTACCGAGTAATACTGGTAACAATAATAGTAACTTTGTGCTTTTTCTCTTTCCTTTCCAATTCTGTTTCTTACTTTCACTTAAATATGGAAAATGCAAGTGAATAACAGTATGAATGGAACTGTAGAGAAAATTCAATTTCAGTTCTTTCTCTTTATAATTATTTCAAAACACCATAACAATAAGCAGCAATTTAAATGTACTATTTCATAGCTGGAGGTTCTAAGTTATGTTCTGACTATAACTGTTCATGCTATGTGTATTTATACAACCTGGGTATGTTGAAATGCATTCAAATTATAAAACACTTTTATTCTTGGCCAGAATGTTACACAAGTGAAACCATAATTCCATTTTATGTATATCCCAATGGCTGAGAGTAGCTGCCAGACTGAGAGACTGCCAGACCAAATATCTGTGTTTTGAATTTGTCCTAAATAATTTGAGCCCAGGATGCTTCAGAGATCATGGTTTCTTCTCCCCAGCTTCATGCACTTGTAATTTCAGAGGTGCTGAAGCTCTTCTCTAAAGAGGCAACGTTTCTTCTATCATTTAAATAAGTATATAATGAAAATGTAACCTTTTGATTCATTTTTTACTGCTTCCCTTATTAGTAATTTCATTAGTATAACTAATTATACAATTAGTATTTAATTGGTATAGTAATATTTATGATTTTGAAGACATGTCATCTTGTCAAAAGATATAAATTAAGTTGGTAAATAGTCAACGTATTTCTAAGGAGATCCTAAATTAAGGTGTAATCTCAGGACCAGACCTTTAGTTTCAGTATACACATTAAATCTTAATCCTATCCTTTTGATTTGTCCAAATGTCTATGCAATACGTTGCTTTCACTGTATTTAGTAATCTGCTGATGTTTAGAGGTATGTGGCTGGAGTTTCACAGAGTAATGGTGCAATTTGTTAGCATCGCTTTATGTTTATCTGATATGCATTTCTTGTTTTAGAGAGTGTGAACATACTAGTATTAAAATAGACTTTCTCTTCTTCGCCTAGGAATTTTTGCATTCAAGTGCTCAAGAGCTGAAGAGATATTTAATTTGCTGCAGGATCTGATGCAGTGTAATAGTATCAGTGTGGTGGAGGAACCTGTTGTCATTACAAGGAATGCAGCTGAACTGGAACTATCCCGGACTCCCCAAACACCCGATAGTGAGACCCTCTTACAAATCGGAAGAGATAGGAGAATGAGGCCTATGTTAGCGTTTACTCTAGAGCAGGGGTGTCAAACTCGGGCCAAATGCATCACACCAAAACCGCGCCCACCCGATTGCCGGCAGTGGGAAAAAAATTGTGATACATCGCGACATGTCACGTGACATCGCGAGTTTGACACCCGTGCTCAGGAGCATTTCTTCTTGGTATCACAAAGGTGCTTTTTTCTTCAAAAGGCAACTGGACTGTTTTTTCCTGGAAGAAGAAGAAGAAAAATCTTTTGCTTCTCATCATGGAAGAAACCTTATCAGTTCTGATGGGGGGAAGGGAAGGATAGCTGGGGGGAGGGAAGGATAAGTTCTGATAGGGTGGTGGGGGAGGGGATGGAAGGGTTGTATTTCTTTGCAGTCATTTGGTCATTAGAACTCTCAGAGAGCTTTTGAGACCATGTGAAACCCTCAGAGTCACCTAAATCAGGGTGCAATTGGTTCTGGAACTTTCCATACCCCTGGCATCATGATGAATTTTCTTGGATGAAAAGCAAACCATCTTCCTCAAGGAAAAAACAGTCCAGTTGCCTTTTTTTGGGGGGAGAAGCACATGCTTAAAGAATGGTTTCACCCCATACAAATATTCAAATTCCTATCAAAACAAAATATTCTGACCAAGAAGAAATGTCTGTGGATAACTGAGAATCTCCACAGACATTTCTTCTTGGTCAGAATATTTTGTTTTGATAGGAATTTGAATATTTGTATGGGGTGAAACCATTCTTTAAGCATGTGCCAAACATTTATACCCTACTTTATACAAAAAGTTACAAAAAGTTGGCCCTGTTTTGAGTCTGTTGAGTTGCTCATTCTTTCCATTGAAAACTCACGGTTGAAACCATAATGTCAATCCACTTTTATAATGCATTTGTAATCTATTTATAGTATTGGGCATGTCTAATTTATGCAAGAGAGTCATTGCCTTGTTTCCATATACATTTTCTCTGAACTGGGGCTACTTTAGGGCTCAGCACATTTGCAACAGTTGTACTAGCCTGTTTCGTCTTCAGATATTGTTAATTACTTAATCATCTGGTCTCATAAAATCAAGTCTACTCTTCAGTCATGTCTTTAGCTTATTGTAGCTTTTAAGTTTTATGTGAGCTTGTTGCTTTATTTCTAAGACAACCAAACATAATTATCAGATATGTTTAGGTTTCCAGTAAAATATCGCCAGAACTACTAAGGAAAGTATACATGAGAAGTAAGAAGATTATTATTTGATTTGGTTATTTTGACCTTTACTTTATTTTGCACTTAGATTTGAGGTAGGTATTTTAACCTAGTTTTTATAAGTGTTGTTCTGTCTCATCACAGTAGAGAACTTCATCATACAATCTGAGTTCATTGGCCTATTAACAAAGTATTGGGGGTATTTTTGGTAAATGTGTATATAGTTTTGTGTAAAGCTAATTGTGCTCCCATTTCTTCATTTTTTGAATATATAGTCCCAGGTTTTCCTAATGGGTTCCACAACTTCCCTATGGAGCCCTCATCTTGTCCTGCAGCCTGCCATGCCCCCATGAGTAGTCTAAGGCATTCTTCCATTGGAGAGGACGCTACGCATGCTCTTATTATCCCTGATGGGCAAGTGAGTATTGCATATGAAATAGAACACTGCACCTATTAATACTAACTGTGCCAATTAATTTTAACTATGCCAGTTAATGTTGTTATAGGAAAATAGGCACCTGTTCTTTTTCACTTATGCAGCGCTAAGTTTCTAAGTATTTTCAGGAAAAGTTGCTTATTGAGAAGATATATTTGTAGTTATCAAAAAGGCATAATAATAATACCTTCTCATTGCACAAGGTATTAATCATTTTACCTCCATCCACTCTCATATAAAGGCTAGGATGGGTTTTTCATAACTGTGTACATGATTTTCTTGATTAAACAAGAATTGTGGTATTGTCTTTTCTTTTTCTGCAAACCGGTAGTCCTTGTCTTTAGGCCACAATTGAGCCCCAAACTTCCATTGCTAAGTGAGACAGTTATTACGTGAATTTGCTCCATTTTATAACCTTTCTTGGCATGGTTTTAAAGTCAATCACTGAAATTGTTAAGTTACGAACACGGCTGTTAAGTGAATCTGGAATCCCCATTGACTATGCTTGTCAGAAGGTCGCAAAAGTGATCACATGATCCTAGGACACATGCCAGTTGCCCAGCATCTGAATTTTGATCATGTGACCACCGGGATGCTGCAACAGTTGTAAGTGTGAAAAACTGTCATAAGTCACTTCAGTGCTGTTGTAACATTGAATGGTCACTAAACAAATGGTTTTAAGTCAAGGCCTACTTGTACTAGATTTGATTAGGTAACATAATATCATGTGATAGGACAGGTGTGATCTGATACTGATAAGGATTTTTAAAAATTATTTTCAGTCAGGGAACATGTTTAGAATTATTAATAACAGAATCCAAGGTTAAGATAGGACTACATTTCTTTTTAATATTGTTGCTGTTAAAGATCATCCTGTTTATGCATTTTAAAATGCTGTATAAATACTTATTAATCCTGTGATCCATAATAAATAATGAAGGATTTCTAGACAGCATTTATTCTCAGCACCTGCTAATTTTTCTTTCTTTCTTTCTTTCTTTCTTTCTTTCTTTCTTTCTTTCTTTCTTTCTTTCTTTCTTTCTTTCTTTCTTTCTTTCTTTCTTTCTTTCTTTCTTTCTTTCTTTCTTTCTTTCTTTCTTTCTTTCTTTCTTTCTTTCTTTCTTTCCAGTCCCACACCTATGTAAACACAGCCAGTGGGGAAGATGATATAAGGGGCCACCATTGTATGCACTCCTTACCTGAAGTTCATCCTCCGATTGCTCATTCCAACCATAGCTGCTCCCTGGAGGACCGGAATCCCCAGGTTTACATTCAGCCAGGAGAAGTGAAGTTTGTTTTGGGCCCGAACCTGGGTTATAGGCACAGGATGAAATGTGATGGCTACTGTCGACCCCACTGGGAGTGCTCAAGGCATTTCTGCACTCCTCACAACAACAACAACAACGATTACAAAGACGAGTGCCTCGCCCCCAAGTGTGTTTATGAAAACCTCAATGGTCTGCTGCCTTCTCGAGGAACCTTATTTCGTCAGGGGAGCGGGCGCTTGAAAATTCCCTGTGAGGACCTGAATCCTGCCAGTTGCTCCCATCGCCGGACCGCCCTACTGCACTATGAGAACTTGCCATCATTGCCTCCTGTGTGGGAGTGCCAGCCCCTAAGACAGGGCCAGGATGAAGAGGATTCTGGTGATGCAATGACACCTTCCTCCACTGGTTATCCAGAAATTGAAGAAGATGACTCTTTACGAAATTACATGAACTCAGAAAGGGTTGCCCTACATGGAGGCATGCGTAGGGGAGGTTGCTTGCAGCGGCACCGCAGTTGTACCCCCAGCGTTTTCAATTTCGACTTCTGCCGGCCTTATTTGGAGCAGCCAAGGCAGCTCAATTATATCCAGGTGGAACTGCAAGATGATCCTTGTAAAGGGCGGCAAAACATACCAGTCCCCCACGTCCCATGTGCAGCTGCCCATCCAGCCCACAGGACCAATTCCTATGCGGTCATTGACCATAAAAAGACAGCAGCCATGTCCAGCTTACAGAGAGCACTGCCGAAGGATGATGGGACTTCCAGGAAAACACGACATAACAGCACTGACCTGCCTCTGTAAGAAGAACATTCAACCCAAGCACCTCATTGTGGCTTTTGTATCTGCTCTTCAACAAATCATGTTACATAACTGCCATTTTCCCATTGTGCCCCCTGTTAGTGTGAGTCACTGGAATAGTTTCATCAAGCTAAGTTAAGAAATGTAGCCTATCTGTGCCTCTTCCGAGCCTCATTTTCCTCTGCCATATACTTTCTGAAGCCCTGCCATGTGCTTGATTACTTGACCTGGCTGATGGCAGGGTAGGTAATGGTACAGTTGGAGTGTGAAGGCTAAGGAAACTCTATTTAATTTTTATTTTTGAAAATACACAAAATATATTTATTTTCAAATTTTGCATTAACTTATTTTTCAGAGATGCTGGTATTTGTTTATCTATTTATTTAAAGTGCCCAGCAAGTATAACACTGAATTGCTTTGCAATTAATTCTTTTCTCCATGAGAATCAGAAAAGCTCTAAGAGGGTATATTTAAACAAATATAAGGCTAGTCACCAAAAGGCAGAACAGAGGAGGAGATTCAGACTGTCAGAGAAAGTAAGGCATGCAAGAATGGTTCTAAACCCATGTGGTCCCAGGGGTGACTCAACATGCTAACAAAGCTGAACTTCCCAGCTCCAATTTCTGACTGATGGTATATCTCATAATATGCCTCTTCACCCTCAGAGTAGAAAAAACCATAGAACTGTAAATTTCCCTAACTAATCCTTGGTGGATGTTTTAAACTGTTGCTGTTTACCTAATAGTTTGGGATAGTCTCTAAGAAGGTAATATTCTGATGTTATGGTATTAGTTTGCTGGAATCACATAAAAGCTTCAAACACATTTCAAAAGCTTTTCTTCCTCCATTTTACTTTATTGTCTCACATCCAATGCTCTAATATTGTCCCAGACATACTTTAATATGTCAATGAAATTCAGCCATTATTAGCAAATAATTGATTTTTGGGTGGTGGGGAACCAGAACATTTTGAGCAACTTTAAGGACAAGCAAAGCTTTCTTTATTTGGGACTTTCACATTTTTGTTAGGTTAGTAATAAACCTGCAATATGGATTATACATTTGATGGCCATTATTTATTTATATGGCCTTTTCAGAAATAGCCCTTCCGGGAATAACTGTATTTGAACTAGAGTTCAGTCAGTTTTTTTTCTGAAAATCTGTTTCACTGAAGCCATTTTTAAAATTCACTGTATGTGAAACAAGCATTATAGAGTTGGGGATTAGGAATCCTTTTGGTAGAAAGTTATTACTTTCCATTCCTTTTCAAATCTATTAAGAACTGTCCTTATTTAACACAGTTTTTCAAAATGCTTTTTGTTATTTATTTATTTTTGGAAAATAGAATGTTTATCTGTTTTGTTTTGTTTTGAATTTCTCATGTAATTCCATGTCAAGGAGTCCAAATTAATACTAGTATTTCAAGTGATAAGCTCAGCTAAACCAATTTAAAGTATTCATAATTTGGATGAAAATTAATTCTAACCTTTGCATATGGATCCACATCATTAAAAGCTTAAAAACTGTTTGAAATTATATTTTTAAAAACTAGATTTAAAGTAGTTTTGCTTAAATCTTTTTATTGTAAAATGTTATTCTTTCTTGTCTGTTAATTATTGCTCACCATATTGTCATGAAACACATGCTTTGCATGTAGAATATCCCAGATTTAAGCAGGAGTAAGAATTTCCCTTCTGAAATATTGGAGAAGTATTACCTATTAACATAGATGATAGTGACTTAAATGATGAGTATCTTGCTCCAGCATGTCCTTTATCTGTTCCTCTGCAGTTCTACTGTAGACCCATAACTAAAGGAGAGTAAAAATGCATTAAATGAACAAGAGAAGAAATGGTTGGATAGAGAATTAATCTTGCTTCAATTACATATATTTCAGTCACAGAGGAGTTTATCAATTAATGCATTTAGATTTAGGACTGATTGTTATATGACAGCTGTACATAAAAGGTGATCTGGAAGGTTTTGAATGTTGCTGCTATTCTATATGATTTCAGTATCTCAAGCAGGTATAAAAATTTCAAATTTCAGCATTTTTTCCTCTTATTTTCACTGTACTCTTATAGATCATGTTCTAAAATTCATAGCTGTAAGGGGAAGACAGACAGATTTGGGTAAACATCAAGATCTCCTCACTGTGGCCCGTTGTCATATAGTTAAGATTGTTAAGAAGGCATTGATTTGATGAATGATTTTGTATTCTTGCTGTATAAATTGGGTTATTTCTGATTTTAACCAGTTACTATAAAAATCATTTTGCTTATTTGGCACTGCCTTTTTAACTATTATGCATAATATGTTGTAATTTACTAGTAAATGTTAAAATTAGGTGGTCTTTTTATGACCATCCGCCTTTGTGGTTTTCCAATGTCTAATCAAAATCTATTAGAGTTAATAGAAGAGTTTCTCTGTCCTCTATTTGTACTTTGGGTCAGCTCAGTCCAAATACATCATCATCAGATTTTTATTCTGCAATTTTTATATATAATTCAAGGTGGTGAACTGATGCTCCTGGCTTCTAATTTTCCCCACAACGTGTGAGGTGGATTGGGCTGAGAAGGGAGTAAATGGCCCAAAATCACCCAGTTGGCATTCATGCCTAAAGGAAAACTAGATTTCTATTTTCTAGCCCAGTACCTTAACCACAACACCAGACTTGCTCTTGAGCCATTGTGGGGAATTTAAATAGGCAGAATTCTTCTAGTATTGTCATATGCCTTGTCATCAGTTTTACTTCACAAATCCACACGTTCATTCTAAAACATCAAATGTAGGCTTCTATATACTGGTGATGGGCAGGCCGGAGTCCAAAGGACTTGAGCAGCTTTTTGTCACCACTCGGTATTAATCACAAAGCTATGTATAGGTAGTCTATTGATCTACTGTATCTTAAACATTCAGTTAAGATGGGAAAAAAATTCTTTATTTTTTTAGGTATAATGGAACTTAAAGGGTAATTAATTAACATTGATTAGAAAGAAGGATGTGGGATAAAATAGGGAGCTCTCCTTTTCAAGGATTATGTTTACTCTGAGAGACTTATTTAATAAAAAGGAAGAAGGACTTAGAATACTTTCCGGCTGCTGTTGTCTCAGAGTCAAGACAGCTAAAATTTATGCTTTGTACCCTGATGCCCTAGAAGTATGGTTTAGTTTTAAGTGATAAGAAATGTGTTTACCATGGTACAATTAAATCAGTGCCAAAAATAAGTGTTTTATCTAATTGAGCCACTATATGGTTTCATTGTTTGACTTTGGCTTAGTGTTTGGATATAGCCATTTTGGTTTTTTAAATTAGGTTTATGGCTTAGTGTACTCTATGAATTCAACCAGTTTCGGCTTAGTTACTTAGCCATATTTAAACAAACAGTAACTTATTGTGTTATGTGAATCTGTTCATTGAATTAGATGCGATGAAACATGTGAAGCTGGTTGTCTGCTAATGTCTTTCTGCAGTTTACATCCATTCCTCATTTAACCGCTAAACAGCTTAAATGCACTGTACTTTGTTTTATTATTATTATTATTATTTATTACTGGTATTTTTCAGAGTCCTTTAAGGAGCATTTTCTAATGTGCCAAGAATGGTGCTTTTGCCAAGATTTTGTAAAGGCTAGAAAGGTTCCAACTAGTAGAGATTCTTAATAGGCAGATGAAAAGCAGAAATGCAGTTGATGCTACCATCAACTTTCAGGGAAACAGGATTATTGAATTGGTCCGCTGCAAGCACCTGTTGGATCTTTTTGGTTTCTAATGGTGTTTGGGTAGTAGGCAGCTAGCTCTGTGAGGCATTTGTTCAAATCTCTCTAATGGTAGTAACTGTTTTTATTAATAATTTTGTTAATAGTATTCGTTTTAATAGCTTGGAGTTTTTTGAGTATTTTATAGATGTTTTATTGTGTTGTAAGCTGCCTAGAATTGTAAGAACAGACAGCATACTAATAGTGGCAAATAAATAATCGTTCAGCAATCCAGGTGGTCTCCTTTACAGGTGGTGCTTGCGCTGTTTCTTCATCGGCTCTGCACCCACACGATCCCACCTTGTCATTACTTGGGGAAACAGCTGATAAATTCCGGGCTCAGTAGTAGGGCAGGAGGAAGTGCGGTAGATGCTGAGACTGGAGTGGTAGAGCTGAGAGGTGGGAATTCTTCCTTTAATGAGAATTCTTGCCTAATCCTGGTTCCTGAATTCTCCATTCTCCCTGAGTTAAGGAAGTATGGTACTACAATGCCTTTTTATTGGTCTTAAAATACATAAAGAGGCAGTTTTGTAGCCGTTGTCCTTGTAGCTGATCTTATTGTTGTATGTCAATAGAAACAGTGCAAAGTTTGAGTGAGGGGGTAAATGCATTGTTTGGCTCCGTTATTATTATTATTTTTTTGCACTCTCCTATTGGTGGGGATATGAACACCATTACCAGAATGCTGGCAGTAAATTTGCGGGACACTGAATTCCTTGGGGTGAGGCTAGTGTACAGAAACAATTTCTGATATTCTAAATGGAAGTTAGCTCTTATTCTCACTTGCTACGTGTGTAACATTACATTTAATACTGACCATGCAAGCAAAAGTGAAAATGTAACCTTTCTGGCAATAGTCAAAAGCCTCATAAAGTTGGAGAGTTGATAAACATGATGCTTTCCTATCTCTGAATACATAGTGCTCAGCACTCCATAGAGTTATTTATCTGCTTTTAAAGGTGCAATTGGAAAGGATAATTCAACAAGTTCCATAATAAATTGCTATTCAAATAATCACCACATCCAAATAATCACCTCATCCAAACTAAGTTGGATGCCACTTTTTTTCTGTCACGAAAACTCCAAGCCATTGCAATAAAAAAACTAGCACATTTCTAAGCATAGCTGTGCAGTAATGCAGAAATTGCCTGTTATTGCAGTAGCTAGTAGCTACATATTGAGCCTTTCTAGAGAAAAAAATTACATGTCAACTTAAACTAGACCCATGTTTTATTGTATCCTTAACATTTCCATGGTAGTCATCTTTTAGGATCAGCACAT